TAGAAACCATATCACATTCGTCTCATTAATGAAGCATGTGCAAAACGCAACACTGAATCTCATGCAATCCTATGGTGAATAATGACTTCTTCATGTTAACCATTATATACATATTGCTTCAAAAAACTAAGTTAGAGGAAAATAGAATAAAAATAAAACCAACACAACTCTTCATTTTCTTCCCAAAAATCTCTTATTGGCCATTGTACCATTTAAACGCAAGAGTGTTTAACCATCAATAAACAAATCCTGAAGAATTAATTTTTATCCAAAACCAATTGAAATAAAGGAAAAAATTCTGAAACAGCTATAGAGGTATTAAAAAGTGCCATTTGAGGGTGTAATTGTTTAAATGCACTATGTGACCAAAAAATCACCAAAATAAACAAATCAAACCCAAGTAATTGTAAGATCATCTCAATCCTAACCTCATAGAAGGTCTTTTTTCAGTATGCCTTCCTGGCTCGTATGATTATGTTGCCTTCCTCACTGATATTCTCCTATCGGTATTGAGGACCAAGACGAAGCGTAGTACCATTATGCAATAAAGAAATATTGGCAAAATGAATCATTAATTATCCTGCTTTTTGCACAAACAAAATTAGAATCATTAGCAAAATATAAAAGTGAATCACTATTAAGAAATGTAGTAACTATATAAAAGTCGTATTATAATTGAAAAATGTAATAACTATATGAAAGTTGTATCGCGATTAAAGTATTTGACATTGCCCAAAAGAATCACTCAAACATAGGTAGAGGATCAAACACACCATTAATCAAAAACAATACACAATTTTGAGAGCTAAGGCTGCAAAAATTACACAATTGCCAGAAGCAATTACACTATTAATTTACCTTAATAAATTTTTTACCTTCCAAGAAGTTTCTCCATCCCTATCCATCGATTGATATTAAGCCTACATATATAGATTGACCTAAAAAATGGTTCAAATTTTGATCAAATCAATAGCTGAAACAAGTCGCACTAAAGTAAACTTTGACATTGACTCTTATCTTGTTTTAAAACATGCAAACAATTAAAAAATTAAATTTATTGAAACAAAACTTATAGAAGTCTAGTCAAGAATTATATTGCCAAAAAACCGTAATAAAAAATGAAATAAAGTCGACTGAAATTTAGCTTGCACACATGGATCAAACTTAAAATTGATGTCAATACTCAATGAAACATGAGTTGTAATTCAAATCTGGTCATTTCTTGCACAGTCACATTTACGTCAATTCGTTGTACAATAGCCATATACATGTGTGTCTCAATGTAGGTTGACAAACTGTATTTATTGCTTACCCGCTAAAGGTGTGAGTGACCTTATCGATATCAATTTTGACAGTGAACTAACATAAAACAAACATAACTCACCATACATCCTCAGGGCCTTCTATTGCAGCCACACAAACCTCAAAATTGGCACCACATAAGCGAACAATATCAAACAGTAGAAAGTGAGTAAAGAAAATACCTGTAAAGGATGGAGAGGACGTTGGTAGCCATTGAGCCTCATGGCCTTAACTCTTGATGAAAAATGTTTCTTGTTTCTTTCAAAATAAACAAACAGGAAACATCAAATTTCACAAATTAAACTCCAAGACCCATGTGAAAGACAATACAATACAATAGTACTTTAAAATATTATAAATAAATTGTGTGATATAAGACAAACAAATTAAAGTTGATAGAACTAGTAAAAGTAATCAACAAAGTTGATCAAAGTAAATGACATAGCTAAATCACCATTATAGATCACTCAAAGATCAAAATATCTATTTGCCATACTTGATTGACGCAAATTTAATTTTCATCACTTCTAACAAAACAAACAAATCATTTGGTCTCCACCATCTCAAATCGCCAACTACCTCTACCATTCAAAGCCCATTACCGTAGAAAAATATAACCTCCAGATATATGAAAGCAAAAGGTACATAGAAAGAGGCAGAATTTTCAAGATTTTGGGGGTGAAATCGATGGGTTGTGTGCTTTTTCTATGATAGATGGCGCAAAGAATTCGCCGTTGTTAATGAGTTCAGTGGCGAATGGGGACGATGGCTCTTGGTGTGGTTGATGATGGCTCTTCATAGTGGTGGGTCGATGTGTTCGGGGGTTGTGTTGGGTTTCATAGTGGTGGTGTTGTGGCTATTGGTTGTGGGGCTGTGGCTTGGTAGGTTGTGTAAGACGAAGGAGTAGAGTGAGAGAGTTGGAAAGAGAGGGAAACGGTGGTGATGGCATCGATCATGGTGGCTGAGCATCAAGATGTGTTGTCGTTGGGATAAGAGAAAAGATAGGGCTAGAGAAAAAGGCAAATATGTGGGCTAAGTGTGGAGGGGAATAGATATGGGGAGAGATTGAGATGTTGAGTGGATTTGGGGGGAGAGATAGGGCGAGATTAGGCAGAGGAGAGATTTAGGGCATGAGAGGGGGTTGGACGGGGGAGATGGGAAGCGTGACTGAGGGGATTAAAAAATTAAACGTTTTGGACAGAATAAATTTTTTTGGAGTGAATCTAGTACATTGGACCAATAATTCTAGAAAGATCTTAGTCGTGAATAGCTTGAGATAAGTTGGTATAGCCTAGTCCGTTGGATGAAGTCTTGTTTTATCCCAAATAAGAATCAAAATTTCGTTTCGGTGTATTGTCTCAGTCATTTAGAAAATGAAAACATTTCGATTTGTTTCGAAAACGTTTTAACCAGTTTCGGAAATATAATGAAAAAAATAAAAAATTTAAGAATTATTTTTTTAAAACATTGGTTGAAATATATCAAAATATCTTGAAATACTTTGAAACATTTCGAAATAATTGTACAAATGCATTAAAATATTACAAAATATCTCAAAATATTATGGAATATTTCGAAATATTAGAATTTTATTTCCATCACTGATTTGTTTCGATCTCCTTGAAAACAAAAACGTTTCGGATGTTTCGACCGTTTCGAAACGAAATTTTGATCCTTGATCCCAAAACGATTTGAGCCACTTTTTGTCTTTGATTCAAAAACAACTTGCCTTTATCATATAGATTTTCTTAAGGATAATTACTTGTATGAGTTGCAAGGAAGTATTTTCAAATTAAGCCTGCAAATTAGATAACCAGGCTGTTTCCTGTATTTTTCCTTACAAATTGAATGCTAAAGGAAAACTATTTCCTAGCTTTTATTTGTCCAAGCTGAGGGAGGATCGAGCAAGCATACCCCAAATTAATTGAAATGTGTCCCCTTTGTAGTTGTATCATAAGGTTACATTGGAGTTACAGAAAAAAGTTATAAGATTTCATTGAGAACTGAACACCTTTAACTATTCTGGCTAAATTCAATTTTATGGCTCTTTGGGAAGATTGAAGTGGGTCGCTTGTGTTTATACTCAATCCCAGTCTGTGCTGTGTATGGTAAATCAAGCCTTGTTTTGTCTATTTTTCCCAAATGTAATACAACCTTTCCCTGGTTTCATATGCCATATGCCAATAATAGGGCATTGAATGAATGCCTAAATCTCCTTCATGCTCAGCTGAACTGATTCATGTGGCTTTCATTTTACTATTAGTTACAAAAGCAATAAATTTAATGGGGAAAGATTGAAGAGTGGACGGCAGAATTGGGCCTGGGATTTTTAGCCCTCTCTTGTCTATCTTAAAGATATTAATGTATAATTCAGCAAAAGTGGGGTGGTCCTATTAAGTCCTGTTGCCGATAATGATATTTTTTATCCGTTGGTTTTTTAATGTTTCAATGGAGTTTTAAAATGGAATTCTCAAATGAACTTCATGTGATTGTTTTGATAGTAAAACTAGTTTCTGTCATTATGAGAGTGTAATAGATAACTAGGTTGGAATATATCTGATCTTTCCTATTCTTTTTTTGTTCCAATCAATTATCTCATTTATGTTGTATTGTTGACATCCTGCAGTCTATGCAACAAGGTGATCCAGCTTGGAAAGGTTACATATATGCGTTCTCCATCTTTGTTGGAGTGGTATGGAGTGATACTCCCTTCTTTCTTCTATGATTGTCTCAGTCAAGAATTATATTAATATTAAAAATGCTTTGACTTTTCTGTTTTTGGTGTTATGGGTTATTCTGATGCATGCTGCAGATATTATGATGTGCTATACAGGTCATCTTGGAATTATACAGTTTCCATTCAGCTTCCCACTGTTTTGTTGGCATGTGATATTGAACCAAACTTGAGGTTGTAAGATGATGCCTATTAAAATGATGAACCAATCTTAAGGAAAAATTGCATTTTGTTTTGGGGCATTGGATCAGTTTCAAGAACAAGAAGTTCCATTTTTTAGGCATTCATTTCCTGTGATACTTGATTGTATTACATTTAGATGCATTTCTTTTGGCATTTGAGCTTGTTCATTGTCCTAGCTGTGTTTATTTGAGGGACCAAACTGAAGTTCACACCCGACTCCATTTTTAACTCTCAATGTGCATTAACCTGTCCTGTTGTTTTTATGGCTTGTGAGTGAATGAAAATTTTTGGGTGTTCAACTTTGTGACAAACAAGCTGGTTTCACATTTCCAACAATGCCATAAAGGGTGAGGATTAATTTTTTCCTGTCAACTGTATTAGGAATGGTTAGAAATTGGTGGAATGTGAATTGCAGTTTATATGTTTATTATAGTTCAAGAAAAATAACATGCTCTATTATCATGAAGTGAAGAGAATGGATATGAGAAGGATGAAAAATAAGAAGAATTACTAGGAGCACGACAATGGTGATCTCTAGCGCAGCGGAAAAAAGCACAACTTCAGAAACTAATGTTCATTTTCTCCTAAGAGGCGGATTACATCCTGTTCATTAACTTATACACCTTACGAGTAGGGGTCATTCTACTGGATTTGATAAGGGATTGGTTATGTGTACTTGGTATCATACTTTCTTGGGTACCTGGTGCAATGGGGTATGTTGCTAGTACGCCATTTTTGGTCATCCTGTGATAGCTTTCACTATTATGTTAAGTAACGTATACTTACACATGCAGATGGTCATAGTGTATTAATTTTTATTTTACATTTGTGATAAGATTTCCACAGCGAACCGATTTGGGGTTAGGATTGATAACTTTGATTAGAGAAAATAATGATAATGGAAAGAGAAAGTCATTATTGCTAATAGTTGCTCACTACTAATAACAAAAGATGCAAAGAGAAACTCTTTTATAGTAGGGCACAACAATTTTTGAAAATGACTGAACTATTCCCAACTCTAAAATACTCTTAACAATCCCTCAAACTCATGATCTGGTAGTAGAAAACTTCAATGGTTTCCCAAGAACAAAACAAAAGTGCATAATAGTCATGAAATATTGAATTGTGTGCGATCTGAATTACACTTGTGTTGTTGCAATACATTGGGTTAGAAGTAGAAAAAGAAATGTCAAGATTAGTAAGTAACCAACTCAACTAGAATATCTCAGCTGTGGTGGAAGCCATAGCATGATACTCAACAATAGCAGAAGAACGAACGACTACAAATTGACCAAGCGACAAAATGACTAGTGGATTTGCAATCCGTAGAGTCGCCAACCAAGTCAGTATCGAAGTAAGTGTTAAACAACTATCTAATCCAAAAGTTTAAGCTGTTAGGGAGTGTGTAACTTAGGTATTTATATTTCAATACACCCCTTCACGTGCATACTAATTTTTTGGGCCTAGCACGTAAAAATATTTTAATCATTAGGGTGGCGGCGAGATTCGAATATAAGACCTCGTCCTCTGATACCATATTAAACAATTATATACTCTAAAAGTTTAAGCTGTTAGAAAGGGTATAAATTAAGTATTTATACTTCAATAGTAAGCCCTAAGGTCCAAAGAAGAAGAACAACAACCTAGAAGTTTAGGGATACACCCTAGCTGTTTAGAGCAGAACCCAGGAACACAGTGTCCAGAAATAGTAGCTAATATAGAGACAAGCACAAATTAGTTTCAAGAGTCTTCAAATCCTTCAATCAAGCACCACCAATACTAAATCACACCCTTTCAGAGAGATGTATGAAACAATCTGTTTGTTTTGTGAATTTGAGGTCACACTAGCCATAGTCACAAGAAAGAAGCGCCGAACAACAAGAACATATGCAATATACCAAATAACCAAATCTAATCAACCCAACGAAGCAAAATTCATCAAATAAATAGTGCAAATCTGTAGCCCCATGCATAACCAGTGGCAAAATCAGTCCAGACCAGATTCAAGATCCCAGTGCAAGATCTCTGCCCAAAACAGATTAGAAGAACACGAAAGAGCCAAGGAACAACTGAGAGGTGAAATCGCTGGTGTACAGTTTAGTCAAGTACCAAGGCGTCTTAGTTGCACCCTTAGGGAGGGATTCAATTCAAGCATCTGATTCGACAGAAAAGGGGCAAAATCTTCATATCGAACATTTTCAATCTACTTCTTGGAAAAATATTCAAAAAATCAAAACCCTACTTAAGCAACCTCAAAATCAAGAACCAATCATACCAGCATGAAGGCCATGAGAAATTGATCCAGATAGGGGTTGCCATTGCCCCTGTTTGATGACATCATCATGTGCATAGGTGACGTCAACCACTGTTTTAACCCAGATTTCTCTTCCGATAATTTTTTTTTAGGCTCTTTCGATAATGTACTGCGATGCTAATAGTGTTTAGGATCGAAAATCCACTTTGATACCATGATGACTTTGATTAGAGAAGAGAATGAAAAGAGAAAATATTATTACTGCTATAGTTTGCTTACAATGTTAATCACAGAAGATGCAAAAAGAAACCTTTTTTTAGTAGGGCAAAACAATTTTGGAAAATGATTAAACTATCCCTAATACTAAAATACTCTAACAAGGATTACAATTTGGGGTTGGAAATTTGGGCTATTTAGAACCCACCCCATTTGGGGTCGTGCAATCTAATTTCTTTCTGAGGATTTTTCTTTTCATAATTTATAATTGTTGAAGAAGTTAGTTGTGGGTTTATCTCCAGTGCATTCAAATTTTAAAGGGTAATGTCCTAGCTCTTTGGAAGTTCAACGGGCTTTAAGAATCTCCATAGTATTGTTGATTTGCAGGGGACAAGCTCTTGAAAGAGGTGTTAGGGCACACTATGGAATATTTGGAAAAGAATTTACACCAACATCATAGATATTAATGCAGGAACGGTAAAGTCTCCCTCACTTTTTTCACGAAAATATATTGACATGGCAGAATTTTCTACACATAAGTGCTTTTGGTGGGGCTTATGTTATTTTTCTTATTTTTTTCTTTTATGTCTTATTTTTATGTTATGCATTTCTCTTGTCCAGAATAACTGGTTGGTTCTTTGATATTGTTGTTGCATTCTAAGGTTAACTTGTGCCCTTTGATCAATGGTTGCTTTTTGCTTGTTATTATTACCATATCCTCTCTCTTGTGAGTTTTTCTTCCCTGTGTTGAAGCTTTACAGTACTTTGATAAATTAAATCTTGGTTTAGGTATTTGGCGTGCTGTGTGAAGCTCAGTATTTTCAGAATGTCATGCGTGTTGGCTACAGGCTAAGAGCAACTCTGGTAATTTCCTTGGGATGTCTTGTTTACCTTTGGTTGCATTTGTAGTTTGTTTTATTGCATTATTGTTACATTGAATATTGAGATTGGCAATGCAGCTATACCGCTGGCAGCTCTTTTGGTTTTCTCTTAGGGTTGAGCTAGTCAATTTGGGTCACCTGTAAGAAAAATGGTGGGGCCGGGAACTTTTAGTTGGTATTATTGCCACTAGGTTATCTTGCATTATGGGGCATAGGGCTTGTAATTTCTTTGCCTTCCACCCTCATCAAAACTCAGTCATGTCGTCATGTCACGGGCATAAGATAGGTTGCACTTTTTCACGCACTCACATGGACCTGATAAGACAAAAAGTGGTAATTAGTAAGCAATAATTGTCACATATTTTCTTTATCAATCAAATAATTATTCTAATGGCGTTTAATTAGTTCAAAACATTTTCCACCCCCTTAAATTTAGAGAGCTAATGTTGATTACAGGGATAGATTTTGGGAAGTTTTTGCTGTTTATTAGGATTAATTTACAGCGCGGGTGAGATTGCATAGGTTTTGTTACTTCTCAAGCGCAGCCATGGACACAGCTGATGTTTGGACTTTGGACCACAGGGTATCCACTCCATTTTCATTCATCACATTTTCTATTGATTTGAACTAAAAACAAGATATCATAATTTTTATGCATTCTGAATTGATTAGTTTGGATGCTAGTTTGTGAAACAATACCTCAGTCTTTGAGAAAGAACAAATTAATTGCAAACGTAAACCAAAGAAAAGTGAGTCAGTTCTTCCTATTATTATATTGTTTAGCCTATGTCAAGTCATTCTAATATGGGAAATTGTTTCCATAAAGGCTGGATTCAGGAAAACAATGTCTAAGACTAAGAGTGTATGTATGATTCAATAGTCTTGGAATTGTTACTAAGTTGTACCACAGCTGCTTAAGTCTACTGGGATTGTAGCTTTAATCTGCACTCAAAGCTCTGAAGCAATGTTACTTAGATCGTGGGTCGCTTTGTTACGTGGTACGGGTACGTATACACGATACGACAATTTCTTAGGTACGCGGTACAATGGGGATAGGTTTAGCTGGTACGATGTTTTAGGTTGCAATTCGTTTTAGAACTCTTATGTAGATCATTTTCATTACAATACAACATTATATATTACAGAACATTCATAAACACTAAGTTAGTTATTATTTATCTTATAATTGTACTTGATTTTCTATTATTTAAAATAATATATAATTATAAATTTATATACATTTAGTCAATTAATATGTATTTTATATTTGTGTTTTATGTTCTAAAGTGAATTAAATTAGAGTTAGTATTATAATTTGGGGTCGTCCATTTTGGTGATCTATATAGCGAACCCACCTCGTTTGGGATCGATGTACTTAGATCGTGGGTCATTAAGGGTTTAGTCAATTATGGTAACCATGCTCTGAAGCCCTCTTTTGGAATTTCATTTTCATGCCTATTGAATGAGGAAGAAAAAAGAATGTTTCACTCGCCCGTCCCTGAACTTCTCTTTCCCTTGGAGTTTTAATAGGTGTAACATGCGACGCGGTGTTTTAATGAGTTTTCTCTTCTGGATTGAAAGAATGAGAAGATCTAAGCCAGTTTAATCGGGCGTCCACTAAAACTGCCAATTACTTTGATTGACTTCATGGTGGGTCATAATCATCTGGTTATAACTACAATGAATTTGCCCATTTGATTTGCCTAAATTTGGGTGGGATCAGCTCTTGCTGGATCCATATGGTCAGCCCTAGCAGTGTTCTGCTGGGGCAGGTACAGCGTCTGTTCTTCTTTTTCTTTTCTTTTGTATTTTTATAGTTCTTTCTCGTCTTCAAATGCAATTGACAACCTTCTAATGTTGATGTGAACTTATCATCACTTGTAGATTGCTGCAGTATTCCGCAAGTCTCTAAGGCTAACTCATGAGAGTCGCAAAAAGTTCGCTTCTGGAAAAATAACCAACTTGATGACAACAGATGCAGAAGCACTCCAGGCATGTTGTTGCTTCCCAATTTTGTTTGTAAAACATGTTACAAATGGTGCAATGATCTTTCTGCTGACTAATGAAATGTGCTGTGCAATATCTAATAGTATTTTATGTACTCCTGTACCTTTATTCCGATGCCTAGTGCCTAGACGACTAGGACTTCAACTTAAACTATAAATTGGATGGTAATGTACATATATCGGTGTGTATATGTGTGTATATTGTTTCTGACGGCAGTGAGATTTATATTAGGGTAGCGAAACCAGGTCTTTATCATTAAACATGAAATGTTACTACAAAATTGTGTCACAAAAATTCTTATTCTAAAAGTGAATTGTACACGTTCTGCCCTAGGGGGTCAATGCTGTGCACAGGCATTTTTCATGATTCCTTCTTATTTTTATTTTTCCTTTTTTTGTTCGGCTTTTGGGTTGGGGGTATGTGGTTTTGGCTGAGTGCGGGGTCAGAATCCCGCAACTAGGTCTGATCAACTATCAAGACTCGAAAATCATGTTAGAAGTTTGAAAGCATTAGAGCCTCATTATTTTGAAGTATAACCATTATGGAAACCTGTTAAGAAATTTAAAATTGCCATATTTTCACTCTAATGAAAATACTACTAGGAAGAGCTAGGGTAAATAGGCAACCCAAGATAATGTCTCCTCTACTTTTATCGCAATAGATTTTATTTGGTGTCTTCTTGAAGCATGTTACTCTGTGCCCGTATATGCCCAAATTCCTTTGGTTTATACAATGGCTAAATGTTTTATCTATGTTTACAGCAAATATGTCAATCACTTCACACTTTGTGGTCAGCTCCTTTTCGTATCATAATCGCAATGGTTCTTCTTTACCAGCAACTGGGTGTTGCTTCACTTCTTGGTGCACTGATGCTAGTTCTTATGTTCCCGATACAGGTATATGAAGCCTCTTTCCCCTTTGATTTTATAATGTCCCTTAGAAGTTATTGAATCTCATATTGAACTGGTAAATAATTTACATTGTTTTCCTCTTTTTATTTTTTTTTATTTATTTACTTCTGGGTGATCACTGTGGCCATAAATTGTCAATTCTTGTTTACTTATTTATCTCTTTGTGCTAGTCATCAATCATGTAATAGCTAATGTTGTTCCTGTTCTGAGATCAAATTAAGCTAGACACTAAGGATTTGGTAGAAACCTTTTCGAATCACTTGTCTGGATCTGGATGACTAAGACAAAATATGAGCACCTCATACTACTTTCAAGGAACATCGTTTATGTAACATTAAAACACTGAAGATTGCCATCCTGGTCATGATATGAGTATGTATTTAAATTTTTTCAGTCACCAAGTAAATATTAGATGAGATGGAAGCCATATATAATGATTTTAGCTGTTAAGACCCATTGAGTACACACACAAGAATACATCTTTAAATCATGAATCAGCAAAATAAACCCAATAAAACCGAAATAACCGAAACAAATCCAACAATTTCACTACATCTGGGAATTTCATTCCCAATTTGTCTGGTGAGAACGCCTAATTGCGGGGGCATTATCCTCTTTTTTTTTGTTAAAGGAAGAATCAATGAGCACCTACTGATAGTGGTGAATACTGAGAAGTGAGGACATGAATTCCTTAATAGCTCGTTGGATCATCAAAGATTGGAGAAATTCCGGTCTCTGGTAAGACTACCCATAAGGGTTCATCAACTCATTTCTTTTATTTGCCTTATTGAATAGAATGCCTTCAACTGGTGGGTTATCAACCCACCCTTAATACCGAAATGGGTACTTTATAAGAAAGAATTACTATTATCAAAAAAGGGTCCATAATTTGTATGTAAGCAGTTTATTGGGGTGACAATCGTGTCGTGTTGGGTGTGTTTGTGTCATGTCATTAACGGGTTTATGTCGACCACTAGTCAACCCTTACCCAACTCATTTAACTAACGTGTTGTGTCAACCAAGAAAGATTCACTTCTACCAAAGTAAGCTCCATAACTTTTATTCAATAAAATTTATAGGAGTGATAATCGTGCCGTGTCGGGTGAGTTCGTGTCATGTCGTATCTTTCACGGTTTCGTATCGACCACTAGTTAACCCTAACCCAATCTATTTTACTAATAATGTCATATCAACTTGACCTGTTTATTCTCATGTCGTGTTCGTGTTGACCCATGCAACCTAGGAATAAAAAAATATAACGATTTAAATCTATGGTTCTATTATCACTTAATTAAACTAATACTCATACTTTTTCTATGAACTAAAAATTAGTTTAGTAAATATAATATCAAAAATGAGTAAAAACATCTCTTTTTGTATAGGAATTATGCCAATACTTCATAAAAAAAATTATAAAAAATTAATATTTTATTCCTATAATATTTGTTAAACGTGTTAGTTGTATCTAGTTTGTGTTATTCGTATACTACACTAACACGACCCATTTATTATTCGTGTTGACAAGTCAAGTCATTTATTATTTTGTTCGAGAAATGGTCAACCTTAATCTACTAAATGTGACTGGTAAGTATTGAAATGGATAGTGTAGAGAGAGTTTGTATCCCACGTTGAATGGTCAGGATCATCTAATTAGGTTATATGCTTGAGGGTTCTCTCCATTAATTGCCAATTAGTTTTAGGTTGGATGCTCTGACATGGAATCAAAGCCGGACCTTGCGTGGTCAGTGGAGCAAGTCTCATACCCATTGGCATTTCTCAGTATGCATGTTTGTCTGTATATTTGTTAGTCACATGTGCGAACCCAAGTACCATGCGAGGCAAGGTGTAAAGATATCTCACATCAAACAATTGTGATCATCCAATGTTGGTTTATATGCTTGAGGGATCTCTCCACTCGTTGCCAATTGATTTTGGGTTGGATGTTCTAACAGATAGTTGCACCCCTAATAGCTTAACCTGCAGCATACAGTGGGTTTTTCCTCCCTTTTACTCTCTCTCCCCCTCTATTTATAGGTAGGTATGTATACTACAGTAAGCTAGAATTTGGTTCAGTTTGTTGTTGGTTGGTTACTACCCCTATCTTTTGATCAATGTCAGTCTAGTCTGTGTTATCTTGAATGGAAATTTCCTTGTTTCTGAAATGTGATTGTGGGAACAGACGTACGTGATAAGCAAAATGCAGAAATTGTCAAAGGAAGGGTTACAACGCACGGACAAGAGAATTGGACTTATGAATGAAATTTTGGCTGCCATGGATACTGTGAAGTATGTTGCATTTTTAAATGCTGGCTCTTAGGCATATATAGGTTATTGGACTGATCACTCTTGACTCTTTGTGCAAAATTGGTTCAGATGTTATGCATGGGAGGGAAGTTTTCAATCAAAAGTTCAGAGTGTTCGAAATGAGGAGCTGTCTTGGTTTCGGAGCGCGCAAATACTTGGATCGGTACGGCATAAACTAGTTTCTTTAAAGTTGTCTTTGTTCCTTATTTTTCTTATCTATATACTTCAATATGATTTCTTTGAGTATATATACTTTGTGATGGGTAAGTGTGATCTCCATTGATCTTGTGTTTACCATGTTTGAATGTCTCTAGTGGATATTCGAAGCATGCATTCTACTGCTCATGTATCTTATTGTTTTTTTGATAAGAAACAAAACTTTCATTCATTAAATAAAGGTTTACATAATGGGTGGACAAGAAATCCAACAAAATATGATCCAAAACAAGGAGTTACATCAATATAAAAACACAAAAATCCTGTGTCACCACAAGAACTCTCCTAGCTACATGCAGCTATCCAATCAATATTAAGAAAGTAAAAAGGCACATCCTTGATGTATCAAAGTCCTAATTCCACCCTACCGTATCTTTCTCTGTCTATTGTTGCAAGGAATGTCAACAATTTTTTTGGCCAGGCCCCATTGTCTCATATCTGAAGTGTCATCATATATGTATAATCAAATGTGGCATGGTCAGCAAAGCTAATTTGCTGACAATGGTGTATCAAAGTAAACTGTGATGGGGCATATGGTCATCAGGAACAGAAAGAGCATCTTCTTAGTAGCCAGGGATAGGGAAGGGAAGCCATTTTTTCATCATGCTGGCAACCTTCCCTGCTTAACTGTGCTACAAGCTGAAGCAACAGCTTTAAGGGAAGCTGCTTGGAGGGCAACTGAATTAGGGGTCCTAGAGGCAGATTCACAAACTTTAATTTAAGCTTTGCAGGATGTCAATAAGAAAACTGGCTGGGAAGTTAAGGGATATCCTCCAGGATATACGTCAATTAGGTGTTTCAGTTCTTAATTCTCATGACCTTTTTCAAAAGGAAGGAAAATACAGCTGTTCAGTGGAAGGCTAAATAAGCTTCCAATTGTAACTGTACATGGTATGGAAGAGATGCTGCAGAGTTAGCATGAGAGAAATTTGTAAATAGGAGGTCCCTCCTAAAGGACAGGGATAAAGCTTTTTTCGTTTTTTTTTTGTTTTTGCATAGTCAATTCCAGTCCACAACCTCCCCCAAAAAAAAAAAAAAAAAAAAGAAAAGAAAAAAAGAAGGAAAGCTAATTTGCAAGAAGTGGATAGAGCAAAATTAATTGATTGGATGATTAAGATTAAGCGAGTTTTAGGCTGCTATGATGCTAGTTTCCATTGAACATTCCTAGTCAAAAAGCATGCATTTTAAAAGCGCTGGTCATGTGCTATTGATTACCTGAATGATGTTCTAAATGCAGAAATCTCCCTCCCTGTCTTCATGTACAAGCGTACACATAAGTACATATACAACACATTCATATTTCCTACAAAGACTCTAAAATTGCTATGTTTCTTTATTTTCCTTCTTTCCTAAAAGGACTCTAATACACCTTTTTTTGCTTCTTGCAGTTTAACAGTTTTATTCTAAACAGTATTCCAGTTGTGGTGACTGTAATTTCGTTTGGAATATTCAGTCTACTTGGAGGGGATCTGACACCTGCCAGGGCATTTACATCGCTTTCTTTGTTTGCTGTGCTACGTTTTCCGTTGTTCATGCTGCCTAATATAATAACTCAGGTTCTGTCTTTCCTTATGTTCCTGTTATGATCTCACATAGTGCTGCCGTATCTTGTGTGGCATTATTTGTAGAACGAATGTTAGATTTGCTGATTGCTTTTGTATCTTTTATACTTTTAAGCGTGGCATTGTGTATTGTTCTGGTACATTAAGGGAGAGATACATGAGTTAGAGACATTTCAGGGGATATCAGTCTGATTGTTTCCTGCATTATTTTTATGAGTCACTTCTTTTACCACTGGGTTCCGTCTATCTTGAGGGATCTAGTTTTTATAGGTTATTTGTTGCCAAATAAGTGATATTAATACCCTCAACTAATACCAATGTTAGCATGTTTTGGATGGTAATCATTCATATTGTGATGTGATGAAGTCAAGTTATATAGACTTATTAAAAGGTATTTGGGAGTTGAGCAAATTTTGATTCATTAATACACTTTTCCTCCAGCTGAATTTGCGAAATCTCAGCTGTCAACTGGCAAGCTGCAAGTAGCTCCTTTTTAATAGGATCTTCCTTTTGGAAGGAATGATAATTTTGTATGAGTAGCTTTACATGCTCTTCGTAGGTAAATTTCAATGTTAGATATAGTTAACGAATTCATCTGCTAAAGTGCTACCCTTACCATGCCTTACTTTTTAATATCTGTTTTTATTTTTAGATTTTATCCTTTTCAAATGTGTCTGAAGTGCCAATTCCTGTAAAGGAAGTATCAATTATGACTGTTTTTATGTTTTTGAGCTGCTAATCCTGTCATATTTTGTCAGGTCGTAAATGCAAACGTATCTCTAAAACGTCTGGAGGAACTTCTCTTGGCTGAAGCGAGAATTCTACTTCCTAACCCACCTCTTGAACCAGGAATTCCAGCGATCTCAATCAGGAATGGATACTTTTCTTGGGAATCGAAGGTCAAACTTTTGGCCTTATACTTTTGAAGAATTATGAATCCAGAAATGTATATATACTTACATAGAAATATATTTTTTCTAAGTTAAGGCTATGATCTTACTGGTCAAACAAAAACCATATTTTTCTTTACTAAAATTTGTATGACTTCTCATAGATTGTTATGTCATGTAAGCAAAGTTTCACTAATTCATTTCAATTTTATTTTTTGTTTTACAATTGAAAGTACATTTGTATTTCAACATCAAAAAGCCTTAAGCCAAGGACAACTTCCAATTAAATTTTGAGAAGAGAAATTAGCTAGTTTCACTAGCACAGGTTGCATTTTAAGAAAGGATTTATAACCATTCTATTTTCTTTCTTTCTTGTTCATTTCCTTTTACTCGGACAAGCATTCTTCTTGTTGAATGTACTGGGTACATTTCTTGAGCACAAGTTGGGACTTAAGTTATGGCTCTGAGGGGCATGGAGCTAATTGCTGTTGGCACTTAGTGATTTGGTGATTTGGTGGTCTAGGTTCTCTGCCTTTATGGTTACACCTTGATGTTCTGTGTTTTGATTTAAAACTTTACATTTCAAGACAACCGTGCAAGCAATGTGCTTCTTCATAGAAATAATTAACGACATGAAAGTTTGATCATTCATATAGTTGGTGACTGTTGGAATTCTGACTGCTTGTAAAGCTTGAACTTCAGAGTTTTCTACAAAGCTTGGGTAAGTATTTACACATTCTTTCTTTGGCTTTTGATTCCAGGCAGATAAGCCAACATTGTCAAATATCAATTTGGATATACCAATTGGGAGTTTAGTAGCAGTTGTTGGCAGTACTGGAGAAGGAAAGACATCTCTTGTATCAGCAATGCTTGGAGAGCTTCCTGCAGTTGCTGATGCAAGTGTTGTTATCAGAGGAACAGTTGCCTATGTCCCACAAGTTTCATGGATTTTCAATGCAACGGTCAGTAAAAGCATAGTGTAATGCAGTGTTTTTGCTAAAGGCCTACTATTTTTATAGGTCTTACTGGTTTTTTTAGTTGTTCTGCCAATGCATTATGTCCACAGCACGCTAGCCTAAACTAACAATATAGGTATATACTTGCATCAATTTAGTTCAGTTGGAAAGTGGTTCCATGGTTTTCGATAATCTTAAGCCAAAGGCTGCTGAGTAATTTATATCTGGTTGTCATTACGCTGCTTTTTATCATGTAGACTTGCAAACTTTTATTTTTTCGATAATCTTAAGCCAAAGGCTGCTGAGTAATTTACATCTTGTTGTCATTATGTTGCTTTTTATCATGTAGACTTGCAAATTTTTATTTTTTCAGGTCCGTGAGAACATATTGTTTGGATCTGTGTTTGAAGCTGCAAGGTATGACAAGGCAATAGATGTGACTTCATTGCAGCATGACCTTGATTTGCTTTCTGTAAGTATAGATGCCAAGTATTGTCGTGTTGCTAGAATCATGAATGAGCAACTAATCTATGTCGTTGGTTGTTTCTGACCTGAATATCTTATCTGCCTTGCTAATGCTAGGGCGGTGACCTTACTGAGATTGGTGAAAGAGGGGTTAATATTAGTGGAGGACAAAAGCAAAGAGTTTCCATGGCTAGGGCTGTGTACTCCAATTCAGATGTTTACATATTTGATGACCCTTTAAGTGCTCTAGATGCGCATGTGGGTCGACAGGTAATTCCTTCCTACATTAATTTAATCAAAATTACGTCAAGATAAGCTATAGTTGTTGCATCAACATTATACTTAACAGCTTTTAATGAATCATTCATGATATATGGTCATATTCACAGACAGATCATATTAAATCCTTTGGAGAGAGAATCCTCATTAGTTAGGTAAAGCTGAGCTCATAGATATTATTTGACGAAAGTTACCTGTTTCTTGCTATGTGAAACATATGATTTCTTTTCAGAGAAGAAAAAATCTTTCTCAACACCTCCTTTATGAATTTATCAAATTTAACACTATGATTTTCTGTAGTTATCACCATCTTTGGTGGTTGAAATTTATGCTTATTGTACGAGTGTCATTTGCACTTCCAGGTTTTTGAAAAATGCATCAAGGCAGAGCTAAGAGGAAAAACCAGAGTTTTAGTCACAAATCAGCTGCATTTTCTTTCACAAGTAGACAGAATTATACTGGTGAATGATGGCATGGTGAAGGAGGAGGGGACTTTTGAATACCTTTCTAATCATGGAGTGCTGTTCCAAAAACTAATGGAAAATGCCGGGAAAATGGAAGAATATGTGGAAGAAAATGAAGATGTTGAAAGCATTGCTAATAAAACTTCCGAATCTCTTCCTAATGGCGACACCAATGGGTTGCCTAAAGATGCAAGTCACACTAATAAAAGAAAAGAAGGCAAATCTATTCTTATTAAGCAGGAAGAACGGGAAACAGGTGTTGTCAGTTGGAATGTTTTGATGAGGTAAGACTGTCCAGTAACTTGTTCATGTCCTCGAAGGTAGATAGGACCTTTGTCTCACTGCTACTTCTGTTTTACGATTCACACCGACATTTACAGTTAAAAGAACATGAATTATCATTCGGATAGTGTAATCAACATATGGATCGCTCCTAACTGTTTGATGTATCTAGGATCTTTCTTGACCCTTTAATTGTCACGTTAAAAAGAATTAGTTACCCAGCAAGAAGTCTAAGCTTCCCTCAAACCTCATTTAACCTTAACCCCATAGACCTACTTACACAAACATATAGCAGTTTCTGGAAATTTGACTTCAAGAATTAGGTGTCCAGCCCTAGCATGCTGAGTTGACCACCTGAAAATGGGATTCTGGTGCTTCGTTTTGCTTCTTCCTAGATATTCAGACCCTTTCTTATTCAACCTTCTTGGATTCCTCCACATTGTAATATTTCACGATTTCTACTGCTGAAGGAGCTCATAATAGATGCATATATGGGTGTACATTTTTGGAGCTTTGGTGGAATTCCATATTATTGATACTTATGATGCAAACAGCAGAAAATAACTGCATATGATTCGAGTTGGTTAGAAATATGGGATCATATATAATTATTATGAGCTAACTGCCCAAAATTGACTTTGGTTTTTGGTCTCTCTAAATCTGAGCGGAGAAACTAGTAGATAAACAAATAAAGATGAAGGTTGACACAGTGAAGAGGAGAAGAAAAGGAAACAAACTTCATTTCATGGTCCTCATGAGAACCAAGTTTTGCTTGTGTGAAGTTAAGCAAGATGAGATCCATGAATGTCGCTCTTCCAGTAGCTAATGAAGCTTACCACTGTTTACTATACAGTATATTAACTACTCCTGCAGCATAATTAATCTTTGGAAACAACCGTTAGAATCCAATGCGGTATGCTTTCTAATTAAAGAATAAACATTTTTTCCTTTGTTCTCTCGCTCGGTTGTTGCTTTCTTTTTTTTTAACCTGGGAGAGGAGAGGGGGGGGGGGGGGGGGGGATTAGGGGATGGGGTTGAAGATGGCGTTGGCTTAACCATTAGCATATGGTATGGCCATCAACCTATGTTACCAAATTAACTGGCATCTTGAAATTCATTGTATCTTAATTTTTTTATTTTCCCACCACAACGAGATGGAGATACTCAATTTAACTTTAAAGGATAGTATTTTTGGTAGTGGTTGAACTCTATCCCATTAACTTACGTATGCGTACCTTCCTACTCCAACAGAGGTACAAGGCCAATGCACATGGTGTCTTTTATTTCTTTGGCAAGCTGATTCCTATGCATATGGGGTTCAAACTATATCAAACTTTCGGCAGATGAATACCATGCAGATTTGTTAATGGCCACTTGAGGTTTCATGTTAAAATACAACATGTACACATGAGAGATAATTTTTTACTCCATCCGGTCAATAG